CGATGATTTGAGTATGTTTCATTGCCAGTGGTCTCTGGTCGAGCTCTCTCCAGGTCTTGCATATTCGGTCCTCTTGTAGAATATGTGAAGTTGCTAATGTTAAATCCGTTTTGTCGTTTTGCCCGAAGAGGTTCTAGTCAGTCAATCAGTGGGTGGCATCAATTCCTTTCAAGGCAGACCCTGTGTTTCTGTATTTTATGTTAATAAAACACGTTCGGTAAAACCCTTTAGTTCAGGTCAATTTCGCGGTCATACTCGAGCCTACAAAGTTATTCAAGCAGTGTTACCAAAGGAAGGCTGAGTTTTTACTGATGGAGCCCTGAAGTTCCTAAGTAGACACGTTCTCCAATAAAATATCCAAAAGAATTAATTCTCATTGTGGGGACTGGGCCTCAGGGGTCTTTGTACTAAACTTGCCTTTTGTCTTTTGTAGATGGGAACCTGTCGTGAATCAAAGGTTGCACAAAACAGGGCAGTGAAAAAATGAAGCTTAATTTATCCCCTGAAAGAACTGCACCCGTGGGAGACAGCTACGACTTATGCAGGATTTGGATGCGCGTGGGAGCCGTCTCCCTCCTTCGCGCTCTCCCGAATCTTTTATTTCGTCATTTCACTTAGATATGAGGGCAACGGTATAGAGAAGGACCCCTCGTAACTGTCAGTAGACCGTGGATCGTGCTATACGGGATTTATGGTAAGGGGAGTTTTATGGGTGGGGCAACACACTGGACAGTAAGCTGACAAAATGACAGAAAAGACAAAAATTGCCTGAATTGATGCCGAAAATCTTATCCTACACTATTGCACGACAATGGAAATGAAAGTAGTAAGTAAATAATAGTCAAAAACTAAACTTCACAAAATGACGGACTATAAGTTAAGGTGTGAGGTCGTGGAAAGTAATCGTTGTTGGCAGCGTAATTTCTCCTACAGCCTTCAAATGTATACCAAGATAAAACTTCAAATGACACAAACCACGGTCTACTGAAAGTTAAGTGGGGTCCTTCTCTATACCGTTATCGATATGACATCGGCTACGATGACCGATCAGGCGGTTTGCAACCGCGTCCGCGTCACATGGACACACTGTTCTCAAATCCAAATGAAGCCAACTTTACTCCCTAGCTAAGCCCCTAACCAAGAGGTTCGATCATTCTCAGGTCTGACACGATGGCGTTGCGTATTTTTGTGGTTCTAATGTGAGGTCGGCTTCGGAGACTAGGCACCTTAATGTCTGGCGGTATGTCCCCACTTCGGCCGGCATTCTGCCCAGCATGGCCTGCCACTCCGCTACTTCCCGACTCTTCTGAGGATTACACTCAGAACCATCCACTCCCCTCTCCTTGAAGCCAACGCTTAGGCCGCATATATCCCGTGAACGCGAAAATCCCCAACATCACTTAAACGTCTTTTTCGAATGCTGTTTATAATGCCTGTGTGAAGGGTACCAGTTGATCCGTATAAACGCGCACATACAGTGAGTGACCTATCTCATGAAATGTTGGCTAAATTCTGAAATTTGTTTTCGATTAGGAAGAATTACTTGGACGCAGTTGTAATATTGATTATCTTAAGACATACTGTTATAACATTTCGGACTTGCCAGGATGTGGGCTTTGAAATACACTTCTTTTTAATCTCCTGTGGAAAGCTAGCTCGATAAAAATTGACTACTTAAGTAGTATGCATTTTTCCCATTGATTTTCGATGGTCTTGCAAATTCAAATATATCTTATAGAAACCACAAACAAAAATATGCTTTCTTTTAGTCAATCAATAAAGAATCACGTATTCTTTATGCTTTGTACTTAAGAAAGGAGTATAATTAGGTTTTAAAAAAGTTTCTAATTATGGGACTTTTTAGACCGCGAAATGTCCATTTACATATCAACGTACCTGGCCGTTTACTACTGCTCCTCATGAAATGTACAACATAGTCCGCATCCATTGCAAAATTTAATGGACTCTGTATGGTATCTCTTTAATGGCATAGAAAAATATGTGATTTTTTTTTACCTGGAACGCATGCACCTTGTAGAGTGTAATCACTAAGCGCCAACGCAACGATTGATCAGGCTCCAAATTTTTCGGCAATTAGAAAACTTTTTTAAAACCTAATTATAATCCTTCCTTAAGTATAAAACATGACTAAAACGCGATCCTCTATTGATTGACTAAAAGAGGGCATATTTTTGTTTATGGTTTCTATAAAATATATTTAAATTTCCAAGACCATCGAAAATCAATGGGAAAAATGCATACTAATTAAGTAGTCATTTTTTTACCGAGCACGCCTTCTATAGGGGATTGAAAACAAGTGCATTTAAAAGCCGACATCCTGCCGAGTCCAAAATGTTATAGGATTATGTCGCAGAATAATCAGTATCACATCCGCGACCAAGTAATCCTTCCTATTCGAAAACGTATTTCAGAATTTCAGCCAACAGTTCATGAGATAGGTCACTCGCTGTATGTAAACAATAGAAATTCCGAGCTTGGACTCCTTTGAACGTCACCGGCGGCAGTAATTCTTCCAACATACCGAGAACCAGCCATGGATGTTTGTTAGCCACGGGTCGTGCTTGTGTGTCTGAACTTTCTCAGCCTGTGGCTAATCATTGAGGCAAAAATATCGATCGGCGGCGCAAGTTCGGCAGACCGAAGGCTGAGTCACACGCCGAGTCAGCAGTGAGATGGCAAGGGGAGCTCAGGCGCTGCCATCACGTCGAGTATATCCCCACACTGTCAGCTTGGACGAGGGATATCCAGCCTCACTAGGAAATGGTATTTAGCTATGCAACCCGATTACACTTCTTATAGAATGTTAAGTCAGCTGGTCAACTGAACCCTGTCTAAAATCTTAGGCCTGTCAGACCCCTGGCTGGAGATTGTCGAGGAGCGATGAGTGAACAATGCGAAGTTTCCCAAATCGAAGGTCAGGGGGACAGTGTTGGTTGGAAATACTTTACTGACGCTCGGTAGAAAGTACAGTAGGTGGGCTAACTCATGAAATGTCAACCGAAATTCGTTTTCGTTTCGAAAAGATTAATTAAGTAGGGATGTAAGACTAATCAGTCTGCAACATAATTTTATAATATTTCAGTTACCTCAGGATGCCGGCTTTCGAATGAACTTCCTTCCGGTTGCCTGCGAAAACTACATTCTGTAAAAAATGACTACTTAGGCAGCACGAATTTTCCTCATTGATTTTCGATGCCCCTAAAAGTCATATTATATTTCATGGAAAGCATGCATAAAAGTATTCATTCTTTTGCTCATTCGGTAGACAATTACGACTTTTCCTAATTTTATACTCGAAGGAGGGACATCATTCGGTTTTAAAAAGTTTCTAATTGTGGGGCTTTTAAATACCGTGAAATGGTCGTTCATAAATCGTCATGTCTCTGCATTTACCAATGTGGCTCGTAAAGTTAACAATAGGGATCAAATCCACTGCTTTATTTTATGAATGCCATATGGTATCCTAATACTGTAGAGAAATGTATGGTTTTCTTTACGCGGAAAATATACGGCTTGTAGTTTGGGAATCCTGAATCCAAATGTAACGGTAGAGCGGAGTCAAAATTATTCGAGAATTGGAAAGTTTTTGAAAACCGAATTATGTCCCTCCTTCGAGTATAAAATTAGAAAAAGGCGTAATTGTCTACTTAACGGGCAAAAGAATGAATATTCTTATGAATACTCTCCATGAAATATAATTGGATTTTAAGGGCATCGAAAATCAATGAGTAAAATTTATGCTGCCTAAGTAGCCATTTTTAACAGAGTGTAGTTTTCGCATGCAACCGGAAGGAAGTTCATTCGAAAGCCGGCATCCTGAGGTAACTGAAATATTATAAAATTATGTTGCAGACTGATTAGTTTTACAACCCTACTTAATTAATCTTTTGGAAACGAAAACGCACTTCGGAATTTCGGTTGACATTTCATGAGTTAGCCCACCTACTGTACACGCAGCTTTGAGGGCAGAGGCAGCGACTCGTCTCATCAAGCGAGGGACAGCCGTTGAGGTTGGTAGCCCTGGCGAGAAGAGCGTGCTTGCTTGCGCCTAAACATTGTCCGCCTGTGGCCATTCAGCGGGGAATGTATCGTTGATTGGCGTCAAGTTTTTCCCACGGCAAGGACGAATCTCTCGCGGCTCAGACAAGGCCTCGATCGAAGGCGGCATGAGCTTGCGGCCACGCCGACTGTGACTGAAGCCGGAAATGACCATTCCATTCCCTCCCCCCCCCCCGTTTTCCAAAAAGTGCATTTATTGTAAAGGACAGATATTTTTAGTTCGGTTTGTTTTAATTTATTCGTAAACGTTCCCCTGAGCGATATTCCGCTTCCTTTGAAGCTACGGTAACTGAGCACAAAGAGGACGCGCAGACGGTGGAACCACGCGTGCCGACACCCTGACTGGAGGAAGAATAAATCGGAGGAAGGCTTGCGCGCATCTTCTGGTTTCCCCACTCCATTGTCTTTCCTCATTTACTCCTTGGCCCACAAACCACGATTCATCCCTCTCCCAACCCCCGGTTTAATAAACGTTCTATTGTTGACAGTCCAATTCTGACATTGTCTGTTGAAACCTGTGTGATATAACGTTCCAGACTTACATGCTATGAAGTGTCGATATGTCTACCTTGACCTCTATGGACTAACAGCGTCAACCACCTTCTAAGGACATAAATCCAACTAAGCCGTCAGGTAACTTGAGTATTACATTACATCAATGATTACTCCCTTGGTATGCAATCGCCTGTGAGGGCTGCAGACTACAATTTCAGGGCAAAAGAGACACCATTAACCTGTCCTGCGATCATGCCAAGCCGGTGACCGTCACCCTCACACAATCAAGTGCAGTAATCCACCCTTGGCGATGAAGCTCTCTAAGCTCTTCAATCAACATGGACAGCACATTTCACTTGCACGTTTCAAGGGCCCGTTTAAACTACAAATCAATAGGTGTCAGCAGCTGCACGTGACGGAAGGGCATGGATGAGGGCGGTGAGGCGGTTGCCGTGGGACTGACCTCTGACATTGCTAAGGAGCTTTTTCATGTACGTCCAGTGTCAGTCGCGAATACAGCCGATGTGGAACTCCTAAATAAGTCAGTGGAGACGAAATTTGAACCGGAAAAACGGAAGACCATCCCACCCCCCGAGTCCGCCTCCTCTCCATCGCCGGAGCCGGAAGAGGAGTCAGTCCCCAGCGAACCAGCCGCGGAGGAGCCAGAACCTGACCCAGAACCGGAACCGGAGGAAGAAGAAGAGGAGGAGGAGGAGGAGGAATCTGAACCAGAGCCCGAATCGGAGCCTGAACCTGAGTCGGAATCTGAATCAGAGTTAGACCTGCCAGGATACAGCTCTGTCACTGTTGCAGACTCCTTAGCCATCCTCGACACCTTTTCGGAAGTGAAGTGGATAATGGAGGAGATTGCGGACAACTTCGAGAAAGTAGCTGGAAGGCAAGGCCACGTTCACCGAAGGGCTCCTCACCCCATACACGTGATTACAACACGCCATCCCATGATAACATCAGCTATAAATCAGCTGACAAATAGCATCCTCGGTTTTGGTGATGAAGTGGAGGCCCTACAGAACAGAACCCCAACTGACACGATCAGCGAACCTACTCCGGAGCCTGTTCCAGCAAATCCTGCCCTTCTGGAGACCCTGGAACTTCTTCAAGAAACTATCACCACCATACAAACAAGGAAGGCCGAAAGGGCTAGCAAGAAGCAAGCGAAAGCAGCGGAGACCCTGAAGGCACTGACAGAAATCAGCAAGTCCCTGCAGATTCTGGAAGGGAAGAAGAAATTCTCTGAAGCTGTGCAGGCCGATCCCGTCGGCGCCATCACTTCCATCTGGAGCACAGGCATGGCTGATCCCCCTTCCCAGGTGCCTGCAGGCCAGCAGGAACCTCAAGACGGGACGGGGACGAGTGTTCCATCTATCGGAAGCGCAGTCTCTCCAATGAACACACCAATAGTGCCTGGATCCATGTTGTTTCAAGAGAGCACAATATCCTCCAAGGACCAGGATGCAGAAGAGCTCGCAAGAACCACAGAACATCACAACAAAAGCCAAGGTAGGTCTTCCTCAGCCAGTTCAGGCAAAAAGTCAGACAAGTCAGAGAAGTCAGAGGACTCGCCCGGCCTCCTGAAGAGAATAACCTCCAAGATCTTTGGAAAGAGTAAGGACAGTTCAGAGCAGGATGATAAGAGTCAGTCGAAGAAGGACAAAGCTGCGGCCAAAACGAGCACAACTTCTTCTCACAAAAAGTCCACAAGCTCAAAGACGCCGGAGAGCCAGGCGCACAGAAAGTCGTCGCCAACCAAAGACACAATGGTGATCCGAGACAGCAAAGCCAGCAAGAAATCCAAGACCTCAAACAAAGACAGAAAACACTCTTCTTCCAGCAGCGTATCTACGGACAAATCCCACCACCATCACCATCATGATCATCACAAACACAGTCATCACCAGCATAAAGAGCGCGAAGAGTCGAAAAGCAAGAAGTTGGAGGAGAAAGATCCTGCTCAGCTTGCAGCAGAACGGCGAGCCGCCAATCAGGAGAAACTCACATGTCTCATGAACATGCTAAGATCGTGTCACTGGGTGGACGGGCGGATTGAACAAATGTGGCAGAAGCTGAACGGTCCATCCAACCCCATGGGTATGGGGGGTTGTTCACAGCCAATGAATCAACCCATGTGTCAGCAGCCATTTATGCCTCCGGGACCCGGAATGCCACCAGGAGCAGGGCTTATGCCACAAGGTTCGGGCATGATGCCCCCGGGATCGGGCGCCGTGTCTGCGGGAAACCCTATGATGCTCCCTGGGACTTCTTCAATGCCGCCTCCAATGATGGGACCTTATCAACGTCAACAGCCACCGATGTCACAATTTCCGATGTTACCACCGCCACCCATGTTGCCAATGCCTCCAGTATTACCGATGCCGTTTCCATGGTTCTCCTTCATGCCTTATATGCCCCCACCGCCAAACTATGTAGCGGTGCAGACGCCCTGTCAGGGAGGCTCTTCAGGAGCCACCTTCTTCTGCACTAGAATCGATTGATAATCGTCTCCTCTCTTGGGTTGCTTCTCTTACTTTGATTTAAAGTGAGGTTATGGTTTTCATTTCACTCGCTTCCCTCACCGGAGCAATTTACGTTACAGTAATTTACCCCCCTTTTTTTCTTTGGCTCGAATTCTGTTCCTTTTCTCCTTCTTATTAGGTCATGTTCCTACCGAAAGCCCGACTTTCATTATATTCTACTTTGTGGACTTTAAGTAGTAAGACACCGATTAAGTGGGTTCATTTAACTCAGCTGTTGAGCTCTCCAACGGGAAAGTGTTCTCCACTGAGCAGGACCAGATAAGGCCGGAAAGACAAGTGGAGCACAGGTGGTTCGATGGGACGATTGACTGAACGGTCGACTGCCAACCGCGCCGGTTGAAATCGCCTCGTGCCACGATCTTCATCCAAAAAGCTGAAGATGCGTCCATGTAGGTGATAGGGGTGACGACAGTCTGGGACTTCAGATCTGCCCTTCGCACCGCTAGTTGGTGTTCGTGTATCCGTGTCGGGTTCTCTATCTCCTAAGACTCATGTCTTTCCCAAGTTTAAGCATAGAATGCCCTATGTGTAATACCTGCAACAGAGCGTTGAGTCAGGCTGCCGAGCAACTACTGTTCCGATTGGCTCATGCGAACTGACTGCGATTTCAGGGACCAGTTTCACAAAGGGGGTTCACTGACACAGCCTGTGGTGGTTGGCTTCTCATGTGTGGTTCTTCCAGTGAAGAAAATAACCTCTCCCTCATTCGGGGCGACGGTTCAAGTCCCACGTTCTTGTTGAAAAATAAGCAGACGTCAACAGCCGTAGCTGTCGGGCAATTTGTCTGCGTCTTTTCGACGCGTGAATTAATCAAAAGCACAGGAAAAAACACAAACATGAAATACTTTAAATCCAAAAAATTAAAAATTCACGCAGTCAAAAAACATTTCTTATCAGGTAGGATCGACCCGTAGAACTATAGGCTTTAGAGGGTTCACACCGAAAGAGGCAGCACTGGAGAATGCACAAAATTGATCTGGCGTTGAGCAGGAAAGACTCGCGACTGAGCTCTCATCTTTGTTCAATTGAAATGACTGTTAACCGCGTAAATGGACCGGATGGCAGCCTGCCCTTTCTGTCCCCCTAGTGGGTTGTTAGACTTGGAGCATTAATCTTAACGTAAAGCCTAGAGGTGCAAATTGCCCCTAACGCTAGCTGTGATAAAGTTGTTCACCCATAAAGGCAATTTGAAGTCGCTTAGGCAGCAATGGGCCTGCATACTTAGAGTCAGAGGTAGTGCAACAGAACGCAACATCAGTGGGCTTGGCGGTTGGAGATCATCCTGCTTTTCCATGTTGAGCCTCAACATGTAGACATTCAGTGTAGGTGCAACCAGGCCAGTTTGCATGGTGCGTCCTTTAAGAATGTTAGCGGTGAGGATTTTGAAGGCACGCAGGTCGCCTGCATGCGCTGACGCCGTCTCCAGTGCGATTTACACTACTAACTCGGGGAAAGTAGTATATACTCTGGATCTGGCAATGAAGAGAACGCAAAGCCGGGCCGGGCTAATTATAGAAACGTGCTATCATTGCAAGTGAACGAAAACTGTGTGCATATGTTTCTCTTGAGAAGGAGTGAAAACAATGACCCACTCTGTAATTTATAAGCATCCATTTGTGACCAAAACCATAGTTAACTGAAATTTTCCCTCGCAAAAGTTTAGAAGCGGATAATGTTGAACACGAAAGAGGTAAAGAGTAGAAACAGAGGATCAAAGGAAACACCAGTCTACCCTCACTGTCTTCATTTGAGTCCTGAAAGATCGAGTCAGAACCATCAGGGAAGTTCTACACTCTGGAGTCTCACGCCAGGTGATTGATTAGTATCCGCTGGTCTCGGCTCTCTTCTTTTGTGATCCTTTCCATGGTGTTACCAATTCGAAATTTTTTGGTGCTTGCCGAGTTTTTGGTCCAAAAGTTGAGGTTACTTAAGCATCCACTGACGGACGCGAGCCGCTACCTATTCACGTCTGCTCACATGCAAAAGTCGGTATTCCACCCCCAGACAAGTCATCCGGAGTTGTCAAGTAGTGTTCTGTACCGCCCCAAGTAGCAGATTTCGTACCCCCAAACGAAGAGCTTAGCGGTTTCTGCAGGAGTAATTGTTGTCTCAGCTCACTTCAGCCTCCTCCTACGGAGATTGCGATCAGGGAGGAATAATTCCGCGAGGCGATATTCCTTCCAAAAGGTACCGCCCCAGGGCAGATTTCATCCACAGTCCTTTTGCTACTTGCGGAGGCACGAGGTGTTGCGATGAAACGGGGGCATTGTTAGGTAGGCGCGCTTCGACCAGATCTAGGCCACCACGTCCGCCAATGTGTCTGTTGTCATGGCGTCTTAGTGCTCCTTGGGTAGGCTTTGACTTTTGTTGGTTCAGGCCACATTATCACATCAGGGTATGAGCGCTTTTTGCCGTACTAGGGTCTCACCCAACAGTAGCTTTATGTTGCCGCTCTCTTGTCGTATCCTCTTGGTCAGGACATGAAGCGTAGCCTGCATCTGGGAGAAATCGTCTTTGGCAAGCATCTCAGCCCCCGACTCCTCCATCGTTTCTTCCTGTTGGGTGCTCCATACATCTCCAGGGGGCATTCTATTTCTGCTCGCTAAATATCGTGAGAGAGCTGATTTAAAAGCCTTGTTTTCCCCACGAACTCTCCTGGATAGGTCGCTAAGTGTTAGGGCCAACTCGTCAAATTCTTCTCGGGTAACTACCGGCCCCTCCGATGGTGAGGCTCCAGCCGCCTCCTCCTTTCCGTCATCGTGGTCGCCGTACTTCGTCTCGCCGAGGGCTACCGATTTCCACCTAGCTGATGTTTTGTTTCTGCGTTTCAAGGCCTCACCAAGGAGCATTCTGATGTTTCCGCTCTCCTCGTGAATCCTCCTGGATAGGGTTTTAAGTCCATTCTCCAGGTTATTAAACTCCTCGCGTGTGACAAAGTCATTATCAGACTCCGGCACCGGTGCTGGCGTGTCTTTCGTTTTGGGGGCCTCTCGCACGCTCTCCTTAACAACCGCCTTCTTTCGCATCGCTCTGGAGCGACGAAGAAGGGACTTAATCTGCTCACACTCCAAATGAACTTCCCTGTGTATGTGTTTAACGGTCTGCTGGAGTTCATCAAACTCCTCTCGACTAACCTGCCTTGAAATTGGGTCCTCAATCCGCTCAAGTTTCGCACGCGTACGCGCAAACACCTCCTCAGAACTGCCCCGAAGTTTCAGAACCCGCACCCTGCTCCGAAGAATGCAGGACTGTACGACGTTGGGCGCTTTCTCACTGGATGCACGTGCCATGGTTTTCATCTGTTCAACTGTGCTCACGACCCTAGCTCTGAGCGGTGGGTAGAGAGCGCGTAGTTCATAGACCCTAATGGCTGCCTGGGTAGCGTAGCGCTTGCCACTACGACCAATCCGTTGAGTTAGAGGAGTGGCTTTCTGCCTCAAATCCCTCATTCTCACACTCAAGCTTCGTGTCAGTCGTACCAGTCGAATTACCAGCTCTCGTTGTATGCTGTGGCTTCTAGTCCGATCACGCACATGAGGAGTCTTTTGGGCGCCACCAAAGCTGAGCGACGTCCACCGCTTCTTGAGCATATTCATGAGGTTGGAGCTCACAGAAGACGGAGCTGTAGGTCGCTTTTCTTGAACCCGATCGCTGCCGCTGTGTGGTGCCACTCGCTTCGAATCGTGGTCCTCAGACTGTGTCCTGTCCTCCAAGTTGGAAGTCACAGACGTCGGATGCGCCACTTTGGATTGTACGGGCTTCCTCCCCTTTACGGGCGGCTGGTCACGATCACTGACCTCAGAAGACCCTCTTTGAGAGCTGAGACTTGATGTCTTTATTGGGGAAGTCGTGAGCTTTCTACCGGAGGGTTTATCGATATTGGATTTTTTGGGTGAGGGTTTAGGAGCTCCACCTGAACGAGTACGATTCCGGTCCTTCCATATTGGTTGGTCACCAAACGTATGCTGTAGAGTCACCCCCAGGTGTCGAATAGACTTCCGCAGGCGCATGGACACCTTCTCGACATTTGATCTAACCCTTTTTACGAGGGGTGAGCAGACATCTGCAATTTGTTCCGTCGACAAAGACCCACTGCTTAAACTGCGCAATCCTCGTCTCGCAGTCGCAGAGACTTTTGTCGCTGGGCTGTTGCTCTGTGCCGGCCCACTGTAATCCCTCGACGCAGAAAGCGAGGAAGAAGACTTCGGACGTCTTACAGAGGGCGCTGGGGGTTTTTTGGCCTGTGCGGGAGTCCTGCTGCCTCGTGCAGAGGATTCACTCTGACTTCCGGAGGTTCTTGCGGGACTGCTACTCCGTGTGGTACTTCTGCTCTGGCTAACCGGATCAGAAGACAAGGACGACTTCGGAGACCTAGATGATGGTGTCGGCTGTTGTTTGCCTTTGGTTCGATCTCTTCCTCGTACAGAGGGCTCCTCACGACTCACAGAGGCATTTTTAGGCGTCCCAGGTCCTCCCAGCTGTGAAGCATCCGTCTGAGGCCTTCGTGAGAAGCTCAAAAGACTGAAACCTTGTGATTTTTTGGTGGACGACTTGGCAGCCCCACTTGAAGGAGTGCGAATAAGCGGCTTCTTTAACACAGAGGAAGACGACTCCGGTGGAAGGTCCTGATGACGTGCCTTACTAAATGACGGCTTCTGCGCAACAGTCGACGCCTTATTAGACTGGACTTTTCTTGATGAATCGCGTGGTGGAGTAGGAAAATTGCTTTTATCCGACGACCGCTTGGTGGACTCAAGAGAGCGACTACTGTCCACCGGTCTCGAAACCTCATTCAGGCGCAGTGAACTTTTTCCAGACAGACCGGCTGCCGATGGCATTCGCTTGACGGATTGCACAGATTGTTGCACACGCTGGACAAAAAGACCTTTGGCAGATTCAGTTGAGTCCATCTCCTGTGGTTTATCGGCTGAAGATCTGGGTGCTTTCCTGAACGAACCGAAGCCCTGTGACTTTGTCATCGATGACTTCTCCACTTCCCTTGAAGTTCGCTCAGCCTGTGACTTCTTATCCGAGCCTGTGGATGCTACCCTTGGCAGACTCTTGTAAGACGTCATCCTTTCCACAGATGCTTCAGCCCCTCCTCTTGCAGCAACAGGACCTGGAGCTTGCACTTTCGAGGTTGTACGTCCTTCACCTGGGTGGCTATAACTTCGAGCTGACAAACCTGATCCAGACAGAGAACGCACAGATTCCTGTTCCCGTGTGTCCATCTCCTGTGGTTTATCGGCTGAAGATTTGGGTGCTTTCCTGAAGGAACCGAAGCCCTGTGACTTTGTCATCGATGACTTCTCCACTTCCCTTGAAGTTCGCTCAGCCTGTGACTTCTTATCCGAGCCTGTGGATGCTACCCTTGGCAGACTCTTGTAAGACGTCATCCTTTCCACAGATGCTTCAGCCCCTCCTCTTGCAGCAACAGGACTTGGAGCTTGCACTTTCGAGGTTGTACGTGCTTCACCTGGATGGCTATAACTTCGAGCTGACAAACCTGATCCAGACAGAGAACGCACAGATTCCTGTTCCCGTGTGTCCATCTCCTGTGGTTTATCGGCTGAAGATCTGGGTTTCAATTTTTCAATTTTCACCATTTCTTCGCAGGTTTCCATTGACGCCATTGATGTGCCGTAACTGTGAGACTTCCGTCGTCCGGTTGTGTCTTTGATTTTCTTACTGTCTTTTCGGGCAGTTATGCCGTGCGAAATTGTGGAGGCCGTTTTTTGATTCCCTCTCTCTGGAGTACTTGTTACTGTAGCACGATGAGCCCTCGCCTGATTCTGTACAAAAGAAACGAGATGACTTGCCGATTCCCGGAGATTTACTGAGGTCGCCTTTGTCGTCATATGGTATACATCGTTAACCCTTTGTCGAAGAAGATGACAGGCGGTTGTGGCCCGTTCAGACAGGCCCGATGCCGTCGAAGACATATTTCTGGATCCAGCCTCATCTGAACTGCGACTATGTGTCATCCGTCGCCTAACTGCGTCAATGTCAGTCGACTTCTCACTCTTAACTGACAATGCGTGGCTGTCTATCTTACTGTCTTCACTCAAGATGACGGACTTGTCCATCAGCTCCTCGAAGGCAGTAAGATCGTCTAATTCCGTCGTCTCGGAAAGCAGGGCAATAGAATTTGAGTCTCTAAATGCAACGGTAATTCCTTCCAATGTTTCACCCTCCTGAGAGCTCCTGTGACCCTCGACTGGGTTGTTTTCTTCGGGTGAGGGTACAATCTCTACGTGGATCTTCCCAGGCGGATCGTAATCAGAGGTAGGACTTCCTAATTTCACCAAATTATCCTTTGCAACGCCTTCTTCGTTTTCATATTCGACGTCAGCTTCTTCTCCTTTTTTGTCGTCGTCAGTGACTTCGTATTGCTCCATCTCTCCCACTTCATCGTGGTCTTCTGGTTTATTAGCAGTCCAAACGGCAGCTTGGTTTCCCAAGGGGACTTCTTCTTCGTCCTTGTGAAGTGAGTTTTGTGCTCTTTGTTTTGCTCCGTCGTCCACGGGGGCAGCTGAAGTTTGCTCAGGTAGCTGTAACTTCCTATCCCTTTTCTCATCCCGTGACGATCTACCTGCATGCAGGCTCTGCTCAGACCTGGTTAGACCTTTAAGATCCGAGAGATTTTTAAAGGTCTCCTTTGGGCGGACGCTTCCCCTAAGAGATCCCGACCCTTGTGCAGCATTACGGGTCCTCGCGAGGTAAGATCTTTCTTGTGTGGTCCTAACGGACCGACCATCTTGCCTTTTAGCGTCAAGCAATTCGTCCTTTCCGATTTTCACTTTCGGCTGGCTTCTGGACTTGAGGGGTTGCTGACTGCCTGTCCGTTTCACCGACAGCTTAGGTGAGGATTTTGCCGGAGGAATTTTGCTGGAGTCACTTGCGTTCGCGGTGCGGGGCAGTTTTCTACCCTCTTCTGACGGTTTCTTTTGATTCTTAAAGGTAAGTGGGCGACGAGAATGGCGTTCACAGTTGTCCTTCTCATTTCTCTCCTGTCCGTTAGCAACCAGGTGAGCGGGCGAGCAGTTTACTGTGTTCACGGGTAGACCCGAATTCCCACAGGACAGCCTGTTGCAGACTCTACGACAACAGAAGACGGTGTGTGGAGGCACCTGAATGGGGCATCCGGTCGAACATTGCCACTGTGGCTGGTAGTAGACTATCGGACATGGAGGTCGAATGTCTAGGGGGCTTGTTAGGGTGCATTCGCGAGGCGTGAGCCTTTGGGCTTCGATCGAATCAGTGGTTCCGACCTCTTGGGTTAAACTGACGGCCTGCACCGCCGAGGAGACAGTTGTTGGACTGAAGGTTGTGTTGGTCCTGCGACTATTCGTGCTCGCATGATTTTTGCCGGCTGAATGGCAACTGCTTGAAGACCAGGACATCGCTTCAGGTGTAGGCCTATCTATTGCGTCGACGGTGGTCGCGGTTTTGCCTCAGAATCTGAAGCAGACGCCTCCGAAATGGCGTCTTTCGCGGATTGGCGTCCTTACTTGTCCGCGTTGTCCGTTCCGAGCGCATGTGGAGCAGGGCAGGGGGGGATATCGATTGACCGGTCGACGGCGCATGCTACGCGTCACGTGACTTGCTGAGTCTGCCGAATTCCTGCAGTTTCTCCGTTTTGGGATGACGGACGTGCGTCACCACCCGAGCAGATTGCCCTTTGATGAAAATCCCGCGTCCACTAGCTGCACCCTATGGCTAAGATTTCCTCGCAAAACAAAAGTAAATCTTCTGCGCTTTTTATGCCGCTTTTGGGTTAACTTCTGAGGTTCCAATCCTCATCTACAAAAATCGAATCCTGTACCGCAATTCCCTCTGCCGTAGTGCCTCCTTGTGTACCCAGCAGTCACGCCAGCTCAGGTCTTACTGAAAGCAGGCGCCAGGGGCCTTAATCTGACCAAACGCCCAGATTTTAAAAAAACTTGTAAAATAAGGTCCTGGACAGGTTGCAGGCCACTTTACTTTTGACCGAAAGTTAACGCTGTCTGAAAGCCACTTCTGCGCAGACTTGTCAGCGGTCTTGCCGTCCTGCGTTTGGAAAACCGAGACGCTGACCCGGGTGAAGTGGAACACGCAAGAGGACGAAATTTGTATGAGGCCATCCAGTAGCCTGTTTGAGAGAAGCTGGTGTCATTTTGTGCCCGTCGGATGCTACGAGACTAAATATCCTTCTCATGTTGTCGTGATCGTCCTACGGCTGAAAGCTCTGGATGTCTTTTTTACGTTTACTGTTGTTGATCTCATAGACGGAGACGAGGGCGCATTTGTCTTCGAAATTAATGAATTCTTTTTCGGACGTCCAATGTGGAGGGTCCCAGGATGGCCCCTAAGTAGAAATCGTTGCGTCCTACTCAATTGCCGGATCCCAGTCATGCTACTGACGACTCTCCTTCTCAAAACCCTAGAGTGTTCCTCTTGGTGTGGCTATTGGAAAAAAAGTCTAAAATCTGCCGTGAAGCCCTGTCTGCGGTAAGATAGTAGGCAGAAGTCAGCCGCGTTATTCAAGGAAAATGAAAAAAATATCAATCAGAAAAATTTGGAGAAATTAATAAACCACCGTTGGCTAATTTGCATGAGGTCAGCGTCCAAGGTACCACGCAGCCAATAGGGATTGAGGGCCGTGAGTGGCAGGTGGTGCCGATTCGCTCAGGTCGTGAAATGTAGCGGCAAGCTCTCTAACCTACCAGAAATAAGCAAATGTAAGACATCTAGCGAGAATAATGGTAACCAATGTAAGGACAACAGAAAAAATTCAAATGCTGTTGTTTAACAGATGCATCTGCCTTTTAACACGCCTGGTTTGCTGTCAGTAGTAAGCATTTCATACGCCTACAACGCTTCTTTGATAAATATAGCAGGTAGTTCTCGATAGCAGACCTAGCCCCGTCATATACTTAATCCTTACCGACTATGGTTGCATCTCTTTTATGTTCTCTGATCAGATACAAGCCAGAGATTTGAAAGAATAGTAGTTTCCTTCAGCTGCTGAGTCATTCAGCTGAAAAGCGAAAACACTAACGGGTTATGCTAGGCATCACGCAAATTATGGCCAGCTTCAGTTGACACTAAATTGTTGAGGCAAATCTACGAAGAATGGACGATGACAATGGCCCGACTGGACAGGGATCGAGCAGAACGAATCACTTTGGACGTTCATTGACGTCGAACAGACATTTTGCTTAGATGATTCTAAGTGGGTAAAAACAGTGCCAATTAAAAGAACAATGTCATGCAGTCAGTTCGTGAAGAAGAAGACACGATCGCTAGGACAAGAGCTTTATTCGCCTGACGTTTCAGATTCCTGCTCGAACCCATCATCAGAGGCAATGGCAGATACGGGTGGTTCATGCACAAAGGCCTGCAGTATTTATAGTATGCGGTAGCCCTGCTACCGCATACCTATGAAAATTCACGGCTCCCGCCCCCCATCAGGAATCATTGCACTTGGTGTGATGACTGTTTGATGGCCGACATTCGTGTCATTAACTACCGCAATTTCGTCACGTGCGTTGGATGTTCGTGTGATGATTGCTCAACCATCTGACCCACCGACCCTGGCGTTGGGAACAGTGTTCACCTGTGCGCACCCCGCATGGCTAATAACTCCACCTAGGCGAAGTCCCAGCACAGAGTATGGAAGTGGAAGGGCGTTGCCGAACACGCTGCAGCAGTGCGGAGAAATGACGCCAGCTCTCAAGTTGCGGCTCATTTGATGAGATCCGGCCACACATTCAAATTTGACGAGGCCCAAATTCTCGCAAGATTGGACAACCGCATGAGCCGCGAACTGCTTGAGTCAGGATTACTGTTCCCCACTCTATTAACAAGTGCAATGACCTTCCCCATCCATACTCGGTGCTGAGATTTCCCCTAGGCGGAGTAATTAGCCACGCGGGGAGCGTACAGGTGAACACTGCTACCAATGCTAGAGTCGATGGCTATGATGGTCAAGCAATCATCACACCACATGCGAGGCACCAGTTAAGAACGCAAGTAGGAGAAGAAGAGACTTTGGAAGACGATCATTTCCGGTGATTCCTCATTAGACAAGTACAACTTATTGACCGTGTAACTGATGAGAGTATCCGATGCCCCCGACATATACCAATCGCAATAGGCAGCCAACACACTCATCTCCCATTTTTCCCACGGATTCCAATCCTTGCACCCCCCCGTTCCCCTTTAAGAGGCCCTTACACTTACGAGCTTTCTGTGGTGGCCCTAATCTGGGCACCTGTCGCAACGCTACGCTTCTTGCGTGTACTTGCACGCACGCACGCACCAGTAGCAGTCCGGTTCTGCGAGTGGCTACTGTTCAGAGTGGGCGCTTGTTAAAAGTGGAGTACCACAACGACCAGGGTAAGGGTTAAGTATATGCGCGGGGTAAGGAAAAACGATGGAGAACTGCCTACCATATTTTTTAAAGTATGTGTTGTTTGGTGGAGTTTTTGGTCGACCCTTCGTCAGCAGGATGACATTCGCTGACCTGTGCCGCCCCGAGGAGTCGGCGCTGCCTAGACGTCTACACTGGTTCATTGTTCTGCACCGCCCACACGGAATTATTTAGTAGGAGGAAAATTAATTTTTTGAAAAAAATGTTCTGCACGGAGAGCAGTCAGGTAGTAGAAAAAAATACTCGAAATACTGTTAGATGGGATGCATACGTCTGTCAGTAAAGGAGGAGTGTTAAAACGTCGGTGACTTTGTTAAACAACATCTCGCATTTTCCTACCCCGCGCATACACTTAACTCTTGCCACGACCAGTTCTTGTACTGCCCTTGTTTATTATCTATGTAAATGACCCAATACAGGAAGTGGAGCCCGATAAAGCGCTCTTTGCCGGCGGTATTAAGCTCTGGAGGTGGATAAAAAGATGAAAGAAACTCCAGATATCGCAACAAGACGCAGAAATGCTGCAGGCGTGAAGCGAGATCTGGTGCGTGAAATTCAGTGTCAATAAATGTGTGGCAGTGCATATAATGTCAGCAAGAGGCGGCAGAAATGCACCTCCACGACAGTACCTTTTGGAATATCAATCTGGTCTGGACAATACACGAACTTCGCCCGGTTCGCACCCCTCCAAAAAAACTAAATCCAATCCGAGGTTTGAAACAAAGAGCTAGAAAATTTGTTCAACGGATAGCATCGAGGAGGTGCTCAGAAAAATCCAAGACTTCCTTCGCGAAAACGGGTATCCTGACAGGTTCATTGCAAAGAACATTGCCGAAAGACCGGTCAAACCCGCCACACCGACTGCTGAAAAGAAAACTTTGTTTCTCAAAGTCCCTTTCCAAGGGGACGCTGCGAGTGAATTCCTAAGGAGACGCCTTGATCAAGCTGACCGAATTCTGAATGACACCGTCCATCCCCTTCATAATGAGTTAATGGCTGCAAAATCCTTACGCCCCATGCGTCGATGCTTCCGCCACATCCCTTGCCGCACTTCGGCCTATCGGAATTCCATACTGCCATTTCTAGCCCGGTATCTCACCTGCAAAGATGTTGAAAAACAAAAACTAAAACTCGATCTTGCACCTTAAAGTCCTTTTTTCTTCATTTATAATTATGTCCACCTATCCAATACCTGTTAATCTCTATGGTAATCACTGTGTACTGGAGAACCGTTTTTGCTGAAAGTTTTGAAAGTTATTTTCAAAATAAAGCATTACTCTCTCTCTCTCTCTCTCTCTCTCTCTCTCTCTCTCTCTCTCTCTCTCAAGCTGTCTCGCGAACCTTTCCAGAAGCAAGGGTTCGCATACCATTCTCTACTAACCCTATTTTACGCGGAGAAGGTAAGGATAAGTTGCCACCGCAGACCACCTCAATGTGCATCTATTGCTTCACCTGCTCCTGTGGAGCAGGTTATATTGGTCGCACGAGTCGGCGCTTATCCAAGAGAATACGGGAACACCTTCCGGCATGGCTGCGAAAAGGCGAAACGAGGAGTATAAGTAGCGCCATTCTCGCGCATGTGGTCGATTCCGGACATCGTGTGGACCCCAACGAAACTCTTCGTGTGATTTATAAGGTCCCATCGAGCTACCCTAAGGTACTAGGCCAGCGCCTGTTAGCGACAGCAGAAACGGTCGCCATTAGGTTACAAAACCCAATCCTATGCGCACAGAAGAACCACGTTCAGTCTCCGCGCCTACAGTGGTCGAAGGTCGGCTAACGCTGCAACTCTCCGCGCCCTTCCGTTCTCACCCCGCCCCTGACAGTGACTGCTATAACCCCCCTCTCCCCTCCCCCACATTCCCACACCCGGCCTTTGTTTTAAGGAGAACTTTTATCGATTTCTCTTATCGCTGACATGTTTTACTTCTACCCCGTTCCCATATAACTGTACTGGCCCGACGAGAATGTATCGAAAGCTACGTATGTTTGCCGCCTCGTCTTCTGAATATCAATCACTTTGAACCGTAAGCATGCAAAATGATCTGGGAGTATTCGTTAAAGACGATTTTAGCGTAATAATGCAGTTTTCCAAAGTCGCGGCGCGGGCACTGTCAGCAATGAGTGCGGCACACAGAGCGTTTATAAATCTGGATGAGGATATTCTCGGCATGGCAGATGAAGCATTTGTGCGGACGCACCTGGAATATGTGGTACAGGGTTCGCTGCCGTGGCTTCGGAAAGACAGGTATTCCTGAAGGTGTACAACGACCTACTAAAAAGGTTGTTCCTGAACTTAAAAATTGGATTACGGGCAGCTCTTAGCCGCTTTAACTTTCTGTCCCTTATACTAACGTTTCGGTTGCTAAGACGGCATAATCCTGATGTGGACTGCGAAAATATTTGCGTAGTGGCACCGAAGACGGATCTCAGACGGCACGGTTGCCAACTTTAAGGGGGACCGTGCAGCACCAATCAACCCTCCTTCTTTTCGCAGTCAGTGGAATTCTTTACCGAGGTAATTCTGTGCATTCTCCTACCGCCAGCGTGTTTAAGAGGGGTCTGGATACACACCTGTTAAAGGTCACCCGGAACTCTACAAACTGTTACGGAGACAGGACCCACAATTAAATCGCGGTCTAAAGCGAAAAGAGCACGTGACCACGTACGTCGCAGCAGGCCAAACCAGCTGGGAAATACACGCCTGAAACCAGCCAATTAGCGTGCGCTGCTGTATCGACCAGGCGAGAAACCCTCGCTCACGCGTGCGAGGCCAATCAACGTGCGACACGCCGTAGGCCAGAATATTCAAGAATGACCACTGCGATTGGAGCGCTATTGGCCGGCAGATAAGAGAACGGTCCAAACCCCAGTTAATAGGTGAGAGTTAATGAGCTAAGGGGGCCGCTGCTTTGCCCCGACCCGTAATAAAGGGTTTTCAGAACCTGCCTACCTCTTACATCACCCGTTGGGATAGCACACAAACCCCATCTACTGAGACACTGTTATAACTATAAACAGGCCACTACTTTTATTTCAATAACCCGTTTTGGTTGCATTGATTTTGTCACTGCTGAAGCTATTGCCTGCAAATGCTGAGAATGTGTCGTTTAGCAAATTCTCCATGTTTTTAAAACTCCTGTTTCACAGACAGTCTTGTGCACTTCGCATACTAAAATTACAGTTACTGAAAATATTTGCAGCTTAACGGTTTTTCATGCAGATCTGTACTGTTTAAGTGGAGTTCTCAGAGACTTCTGTCATTGACTCCAAATACACTGATTGATTGATTTAAGACACAATCAGACATACTGAGATCCCAGATGAAGCTAGATGGGAGTGGCTCAGTTTTAGCCATCACAACGGACAGGTCAGTGAGCCCGTGATTCATTAGTGTGACATGCCGGATCTTATTTCGTGGACATACCTGTTGTAGACAAGCCTCAGCCGTCTGTCATGCGGGGCCGGTGGTAGTAGGGGGTTTAACGCTAACCCCCAACCCTGACCCCTAACACTAACCCCCAATCCTGACTCCTAACACCAACCCCTAACCCTGGCCCTAGCTACAACCACTAGCACTAGCCCATAATCCTAGCCCCTAACCCTAACCTCTTACAGGTGTGACTACGAAAGAAGATCATACCGTGTGACAATAGACTTGATGGTGAACGACCGAAAACGGGCGTTAGAGTCCCGATTTCACCCGGCCCCGAGCCGTACGTGTCTGGCTCGCGATGTCAGCTAGGACAGAGGCAGCGCTTCAGGTACCTCTTGTCCTTCTTTTTAATGCTTCGAGAGGCATAGAAAGAACTCAAATGACCCGGTGGACCATCTTCTAAGCCAACGTCAGGCCTCGATCTTGCGACGAAATCTTTTCCGTGTCCATGCTTCAAAAAAGGGATGAATGGAGTTTTATTTGCATAAAAAACTCAAATAAAATAAATAGAAGGGTAGACGCAAAGGCAAACGGGCAGCAACTAAAAGATGAAATGAAAACTGACAACCCTTGTCTTCTAGGGATGGTGCGATGACGATTGGAAGCAACATGAGGAAATTGACGCCAGGGCAACCCAGTCGTGATTGGTTCTTTCAAGGACGACTACTCTTGTGGAGGTGGTTGCGACGCCTGAGACAAGGCTGTCACCGATGCCCTAGAAACTGACTGTGGTACCACAATGGACGGTGTGGGGTTCAGGGCCTGAGATCCCAAGTTAGTACTATTCCCATATCCTGATTGCGCCGCTGGACTTTGCCATGAGGGCTCCCCGGGTGCCGATGCCATGGAAGCCGAATGTGGTGCCACAATGGACGGAGTAGGGTTCAGGGCCTGAGATCCCAAGTTAATACTATTCCCATATACTGATTGCGCTGCTGGACTTTGCCACGAGGGCGCCCCGGGTGCCGATACCATGGAAGCCGAATGTGGTCCCACAATGGATGGAGTGGGGTTCAGGGCCTGAGATCCCAAGTTAATACTATTCCCATATACTGATTGCGCTGCTGGACTTTGCCACGAGGGCGCCCCGGGTGCCGATACCATGGAAGCCGAATGTGGTGCCACAATAGATGGCGCAAAACTTGGGGCCTGGGATCCAAGGCTAAGACTAGTTAGGTATGCCGTTTCTGGAGCCGGGAGTGGTGGTAACGTTTCGCGAGGGCCACCTATTGAGTAGGCACGACTGCCCCTGCTGTAGGGGACCGATCTACGACTCACAAGGCTACCTGTCCCCACCAGCCCCTGCCCATCGTAGATAGACACAGGCTCTGGTTCAGCGTACAACGATCTGTGTTCACGGTTTTCAATTGAAAAAATGCTGTCGCGGATCTCTCGCATCATGCGCTGCATCTCGTCGTCGGCCTCCTCCTCCGCCTCCTGGGCTCGTTGTGCTGCCGCAGCAGCCGCCATCTGGGCAGCAGCCGTTGCCTGCATCTGGGACTGTGAAGGAACGCTCAGAGCTCGGATACTCTCCTTGATAACATCAAAAGTCTCCTGAATGACGGGCTTTGATTCCCGGGCCTTCTTAGCAGCCTGCCTTGCTCGCAATACCTCCTCGCGCATTTCCCTTTGGAGGTTTTCAATACCGTACCTGATCTCCAGTAGGTTTTGCAGGATGATGGGGTCGACTTTGGGCGGGGGCGGTGGAGGTGGCGGCGGTGGGGGCGGCGGCGGGGGCGGCGGCGGTGGAGGTGGAGGTGGTGGAGGGCAACATTTGAGGCGGGCACTGTCCTCCAGCATGCGCATCGTTGTTGCGCCGACCTCCCTCACAAGCGATTGGGTGCAGGCATTCAGTTCCCCCAGAGCCCTCAGAATGACGAGGCTGCTTTCATTGTTTGGCGGCGGCGGCGGAGGCGGCGGAGGCGGACAGGGGTTACAACAAGCTGGGGGTCGGTTTTCAGTACGCTTTTTCATGGCCAACATACGAACGTCTCGAGATAGGGTTTGGGATATACACCCCAGTTGTCGTAGAAATCCGAGAGTTGGCGACGCAGTGGGACATTCCGGGGGTTTTGGAACACAGTCTGAGCCTTGAAGAGCGGCTAGAGACTGGTTGGTGCTGCATAAGGATTCTCGAATAGCTGAACGCACATCATCACTGCCCGGGTGCTGAGGGGTATCATCTCTAGCCTCTTGAATGCCCTGCTTGGGCTGTCCTGAACACACAGACTCCGCCTCTGAGTGATAGGACTCGCGTACAAGGTCGAGCAGCTCAGAACTTTCCTTCTGAACGTCGTCAGCGAGAGAATTGACGGTCCGGCGAATACTGCTGAGTCGTTTGACCTCTTCACCATTCACATTGGAAATATTTTCCACATTCCATGTGAAGTCTTGAAGTGTGAGGCAACTTTCGGAAGCCTCGTCGCTGTCATTCCTGCTGTTGCTGGGACTGCGCGAACGTTTGGTGGGGGCGAAACAAGCGATGCCTTGAAAGGGATTCTTCAGCGGCATTACTGCGGGAGGGGGCGCCCTGATAACTTGGCCGGTGATTCGAGCGAAATAACAGACCGCTTGATGGAAGTCCAAAAAAGAGTCACTTTGGGAACTGCAAGTCTTCAGTGTTGAAGCATTTTGGGGGGGGGGGAGGCCGGATTTCGAGAGGATTCCCCGGGTGTGATGCTCCACCCTTTTCCAACACCCAGCTTCGGCTCTGATCTGGGCACACGTACACAAGGATGTCTTATTGATCCAGTGTTTTAAATAACGCATGCTTTTCGTTCGCCTGATCCCAGGCTACTCTGACCTTTAAAACAGTTGAGCCAGACTGGCTAATGGTTTCTCGCACTCCCAACAAACATAGGTGAACCAAAAGCTATGGGCTGTTTTGCTTATATAGTTGGCGGCAGAAAATGCGGATGGTATGTCTGTCTACTTGAATCTAATCAGGCTCCGTATACATTATACTCTATTCTAATCTAAATATATGTTATCTCACTCATTACAATATGTTCTGCTCCATTGCAATCGAGTGTGATAAAAAGCTGACTTAACAAAGTAAACTTTGTTTCTACGAAGAAGAAAGCGCAATCAATGGAAGGCAACTATAGTAGCCTATGCTCCAGTTCGCCGGAACCTCGTTTATTCTTGTCCACTGTTCATGTTTTTGCTGGTCATTACATAAAAACAGCCGTTTCATACCATCTTTTTTGGTTTTTCGTTGTGTCACTAGGGGAGCACTGTTAGTTGGGTACTTCAGCCCTTGAGACTTGAGACCTTTGTTTAAGACTTGGATGCGCAGTTAGGTACACAGAATATGAGTCTTCAGCGATATCATAACTCCATTCCTACAGCAGTTGAAGAAGAAAGATCGAGTTATTAGAAGGGAGGTATTTCAATCTGATTATTTCGCGGAGACCATATATTTTAGAACGCGCCATACATTTTCCTTATTTCGTGCACAATATATGACTCAGGACATGGAGTTTGAGAGCAGCATCTGACAGTTCGACCGTCATGGCCGACGATGTCCGCTCCACCACAAGGTGAAGTAGTCACGACGAATTGCGTCTGAGTTAGTTTATATCCTTCTCCCCCACCTGGGTTCGATGTCAAGACAGAATTAAGAATATCGGAGGCAGGGAGGGCGCACGTGACTGGAAAGACGCAAACCTGCACCTAGGCATACCACCACACCTCCTGGTTCACAAAAAAACACTTGGCCAGGATTTTTACCAACGACAACACAACAAGTCAGAAAGAGGAGGGTGACTGAACAACCATGCACAGAACTTGTGTACCCAGCGGGAGCGCAAGCGCATCTACCGACATGGAACCAGGTGTCATAGAACTACCAGCGCACACCCGGCTGCGAAAGCCATGGTTTGCTGAATCATGGCATAACGGACGCAAACAAGCCTTAAGACCCAGAAGAGTGACAGTAGCCCTTCCCTTGGCCTGAGCCATCGCCCTTCAAAGGCCGGGTAACCGGTCAGTAAGCGACTGAGGGGCACTATCCATGATACTCACGCCCACATTCGCGAGAGTGCCAGAGATCACGTTAAGAAGGAGCCGTGGCAGCCCACCAGTCCATCATCACACAAAGACACACAGACGAGCAGAATGCATGGAATTAGTTGAGACGTCAGTCGGCAGCCTTCTAAGCCACGGCGCTTGGCTCGCCGTGATAATCTGAGAGCAGTATCTATAAGCCTGAGGGCAAGTGACTACACGGCGCAGTCATTCGGGCGTCCACTTAACTAAAACGTCACACAACACATCTACTTGTTTCATTTAAGTAGCAACCACAGCTAAAAGTGATTTTTAACATAGTAATAACCTCACCCCGTGGCCATGAGGCACAAACCGAATCCACTTTGTCTTATGTATGAATTCATTATCGACTATTACTCGGTCTAAGTAGTTTTAAGCCCTCACACAAATAATACTTTCAGCTATAAAACAGCGGAAACCTCAGTCGACGTTCTATGTCTTTCATCGCATAGTGATTAGCTGGCGGTCAAATTATATCGTAAACATTGTGGATAATAATTTAACTTGAAGGAACCAAGGCAGAGAGGATATTTTTGAGTACAAGTTGGGTATGATTTTTAGATGAGGAGAGATGGATAAGGACGTTTAGACCATCTACTCAGTGAACCCGTTTTCAGCTCATATCCAGTCATTCTGACCTTCTATTTTCATTAGAATGTAGTGAGCGCTCTAAAAAACAGAGTACGATAAATGCTGTAAAAGCCTCTCTTACTTAATTTAATCGGGCACAAGGTACAACGCCACTTGACAGAACACTTTCGCAAACCCTTCACCATAGACAGCAACATAAGTAGAGAGAGACCACAGTGTTTGTGAAGTGCACTGGATATGCAAGCACAAATTTCCTGAAATATCAGCATCCTCATTGGCACAGTTGCAATTAGTTGAAAATTAACGAATTCCAAGAGGTCCTTGACTTACGGGAGCGCTCGCTAAATTAGGGTCTAGTGCGGTTTGATTGGATGTCGCATCCCGAAATACATTGTCCCAAAAAGTTGTGCGGGCAACTTTTCGTTTGGAGCACCCGTTAAGGTTATTACAGTCCGGAAGACCTGTATTCTGGATCGGTGCATTGCGTTTCAAAGAGCTAAAAGAGCGGCCCTGCGCAATTATTTAGTGGACGTTTGGATGGTTACCAATGATGCTCAGTATTTTCGCCATTTATGACGCTTTCTTGAACACTTTGTTTTTCAGACGATCACAATCATGGTGACAGACGAGGACAACAAATAGCCATCTAATTGTTATATTCTCTCTCCATCATAAAATGTCTGTCCTGGAATTCGGAGTTGAGATGTTCGTTTGGCGTCGGCACCTGGTACTGGCCAGTAACAACGATAATATCAAGCATGTACAAAATTTATAAACTCAGTCTATGATGATGGAGGACCAGTGGTACCATCTGCTGCATCTGTGGGCGCAGAACCAACTAGAATGCCTTTCAGGTGTTGGTCTGTTGTTGTGTCAGAGGTGACTAACGTTTTGAGACAGAGCCTCAGGGGTGGGGAGAGTTGGGCGGGTTCTATTTGATTCTCTGTTTCATATTGTTTGCTTTACAGGAGTCGTCCTGTGGCGGTCCGTTCCTGAGCTTCGTTCGGCTGCGGCCAATCGGTGAAGAGAGAAATATCGATCGGCCTCACGGTGTGGATGAGCCGAAACTCGCCACACACGCACCTTTAGTGACTGACAGGCTTGTTGGGCCTTATTCTGAGAAATAGGATTGAAGAGGAACGTGACATCAAAAGACACCATGAGTCCATTCGGCAAGAGAATTACTCCCTTGATTTTATTCCGAAGCTGTGCTAACGAGCTGAATAGGGTGTGGAACGACTATGGAACGGCTCTTCTCCACTAGCGCGTTAACAAGATGCTTTTTTGGCCTTCAATCCCTCCAGTTCATCGTGTTCAATCATCTAGAGTATCGCTAAGTCATGAAGAGTGACGACACTTGGCATCGGGTACGGCTTTGTGTCTTGTTTGTTTGATTGAGGACCAGCGCCATTGATTGAGGAAACCGCCATTGGCCTCCCGTCCAGTTTGCCCATCCACTTTGGGCGTTTAAGTCTGCTGAATTTGGACATGCGACAGAGCACCGTATCGAGGAGTGCTTCCGCAATGGGGAGACGTCAGGAATCTTGAAGGGAACATCAAACAGGCCTACTCAGTAATAGTGACTTTAGAATGACAGTTACTTTGGCATAGTAACAAACGGCAGAGAAGACCTCAGAAACAAAACGTGCATACCTCTTCAGGTTACTCGGACGTGCCCGGTGCTTATAGATTCCTCTGGCTGACTGCAGAACAGGGCTTTTGCAATAGTTCTGTTTGAAAAGGCTTCTGGCCACGACTTCACCGCTCACTTACATGATGTGTCGGTCTTTCAGCAGCCTGACAGACCTGTTGATCCCGCGGTCGCCCACCCATGTCGCTTTCAGTCAGCCTAACGCCCCACTGTCAATCAATTGATTGTGCCGCGTCATGATCTGGCCTTGCGGGGGCGGGGGCTTGACGCCAATCATTTATTGGCTGCAGGTGGGCAAAACCCAGGCGCATGCATGCACTTCGCGCCGGGACTAAGAACTTTAGCGATTATCACCCGGCTAGTGAGAAGACTTTCTGCAGCTACATGCCGGGCTGCGTGTAAACTCTTTCACCTCAGAAGACGAGGTGGCGAGCATACGTAGCTTTCGATAAATTCTCGTCAGGCCAGTACAGTTATATAGGAACGGGGTAGAAGTAAAACATGCAAGCGATAAGAGAAGTCGATAAAAGTACTCCTTAAAACAAAGGCGGGGTGTGGGACTGTGGGGGAGGGGGTGGGGGTGGGGGTGGGAGTAATAGTAGTCATTGTCAGGGGCGGGGTGAGAGCGCAAGTGCGCGGGGGAGTTGCACCGTTAGTCAACCTTCGACCACTGTAGGCGCGGAGCCTGAACGTGGTTCTTCTGTGCGCATAAGGTTGGCTTTCGTAACCTAATGGCGGCCGCTTCCGCTGTCGCTAACAGGCGCTGGCCTAGTAGCTTAGGGTAGCTCGATGGGACCTTATAAATCACACGAAAAGCTTCGCTGCGGTCTACACGATGTCCGGAATCGACCACATGCGCGAGCATGGTGCTGCTTATGCTCCTCGTTTCGCCTTTTCGCAGCCATGCCGAGAGGTGTTCCCGTATTCTCTTGGATAAGCGCCGACTCGTGCGACCAATATAACCTGCTCCACAGGAGCAAGTGAAGGAATATATGCACATTGAGGTGGTCTGCGGTGGCAACTTATCCTTACCTTCTCCGCCTAAAATAGGGCTAGTAGAGAATGATATTTGAACCCTCGCTGCTGTGAAGGTTCGCGAGACAGCTTGATCAAGGCGTCTCCCTAGGAGTTCACTTGTCGCGTCCCCTTGGAAAGGGACTTTGAGGAACAAAGTTTTCTTTTCAGCGGTCGGTGTGGTGGGTTTAACCGGTCTTTCGTCAATGTTCTTTGCAATAAACCTGTCAGGATACCCGTTTTCACCTCAGTAAAGTTTGTCCAACCAACCCTGCCTCCCTGACTTTTGATTTTGGAAACTTCTTATTCATATTGACCCAACTGTGAAAAACTCGGCGCCTCGGTGGGATTCAAACCCACGCCGTAAGGGGAAGGCTTTAGTACAGTCAACGCTCTGCCAAAATATCTATGAATTACGTGAGCCTGGTAGTCATCTGGTGGATTCTAGGTGAAGTACTTAGGAAATCCTGCTTGGGCAGTCAACTTACTGTATCAGATTTGGTGGATTCCAGACGTTGCAGTAGGTTGGGCGGGTAACTTGACCCAGATGTAAATAAACTCGAGTCGTCCGGCGGGGCCTCGTAGCTCAGGTGGTTAGAGCGTTGGCTGCGCTAAAGCCTTCCCCTTACTGCGTGGGTTCGAATCCCACCGAGGCGCCTCGGAGTTTTTTACAGTTGGGTCAAGATGAATTATTCAAAATCTGCCAAAATATCTATGAAACTTCCTATTGTCAGCAGATACGAAACAGACCTCGTTCGAACACTTGTTCGATAACAGTGGCGCTCAGCGGCACCAAATTTAATAGCCGAGCACACACACACAGAGGGGTAGGGAGTGTGGTCATGTTGGTGTCCCATGGCCTCATTCCGCAGCGTCCTTTCTCACAGCCTGAATTATTCCAGCTCCGGTTGTCATTTCTGTAATTTTTTTTCTAGAATATTCTCCCGCCTCGGCCACAGTTTTTTCTTGCTGTACATCACCCCAGTAGCTAGGGTAGCTTTGAAGCTGTTATGAAGACCTTCAGTCGGTTGGCAAGTCAACCACGCCGCAGCCTCTGCCACTGAAAGGGTCTGTTGGTATGACGACACGACAGTTCGACCGTCGTTGCCAACGATGTCCACCGTGTGCTCCACGGGAAGGTGGGAGCGGACACGGTGACTGGCGCGTAGGTTAGTTTATAGTGGCAGTGAACTTGCGCAGCATCTACCGCACCCTCCCCCCAACCGCTCATCTGAACCCAGCGTCAAAGCATATTCAAGAAGACCGGAGGTGGGGAATGACGCAAGTGGATGTCGCGGCCAAACACGCGATTAGGCGCACCAGCACACCTCCTTGTCGAAACCTACAATCCTGGAGTAGCAGACGCTTACAGACCTTTAAGTTGCTATGGTAATGACGCGTGGTCTATCAGAACACCGAGAAAGCCTGATGCCAAGTAGATGTCTGAAGTGTGTGTCTTTCTCTCAACGAAACTCTCAGCTAACCCCATGAACACTTCAGCTTTTAACAAAGGCCTAGACGAAGTGTAGTTTGCATGTTGTTATTGTTGAACAGGAAAGCCTACAGCGCACCGGCAGGTTCTGTCAAATCGCGCGGACCCTAGTCTCCCGATCATTAAAACGACCGATTGAGTCGTGAATCGAGCGACAGAGGTTTCGGGGGACGGCTTTCCAGAGAGTGCGTTTTTTTCTGATTACTAGAGGTCCCCGGTCACTTCTGCGGCATATCAGCTTAAGGTTTTAATGGTGTGGAACATTTGGCACATGTACGTGGCCTGGAATGCAGGCATCCCAAGAACGGGATAGTTTTTCAGTTGGTCTTCGTTGAAGGCTGTTCCACCATCCCCTACCTGTGTTCGTGTCTGTTGGCTCAAGGCTAGGCTAACGGGCGGATCCCATCCTCGCGAGGTTGAGCACACTGAACCTGATGCATAGCCGTTTACAGATAGTGAGTACCTCTCTGGCTAGTCCGGACAACCCTTGCCTGCTTACTGGGATGGTAACCACGCGGACACCTTTCAGGAGCAAATCGGTAGGATGTTTATTAGGAAGAAACAAAACTAAGAAATCTCCAAAGCATGTAAAGAAAGGAAAGATGGAAACAAAAATCAAATGTAAGATGAACGGAAAATGAAATAAAAACAAGCATTCACCGTCGGTTTGGAATGATGAGGGGGGCGTTGAACAGTGATTGCAAAAAGACAGTAGTCAGTAATCTAAATACGCCCACACTAGTTGCCTGCAGCGGCGTGCGTGGCGACGACGACGGTGGCCCAGAAGATGGCGTGGCGTTCGAGCTGGGAGATCTCACACTACAGTTCCTCTACTGCACTGAGTGTGCATGCGGAGACTGCAAACACCTGTCAACCTCTAGGCGGGAAGCACAATTTACTCATCCTCAGACGACTCTGTGTCCTCGGGGTCCTCTAGGGCGAAAACGCTGTCACGGATGTCTCGCATCAGGTGTTGTATCTGATCCTGAGTCTCCTCCTCAGCTTCCTGGGCTCGTTTTGTGGCCGCAGCAGCGGCCATCTGTGCCAAAGCCACGGCGCGCGTCTGAGAAGGTTTTGGAGTGCTCAGAGCTCGGATACTCTCTTTAATGACGTTGAAGGTCTCCCGCATAGCCGGTTGTGCATCCGGGGTCCTCTTGCGCGACTTGCGTGCGCTTTGTGCCCTCTCTCGCATGCCCCTGTCGATGCTAGTAATGCCATACTTGATCTCCAGCAGTGCTTGCAGAATGAGGGGGTCGGTATCCGGTGGGGGCGGAGGTGGTGGCGGCGGTGGCGGTGGTGGTGGTGGCGGTGGCGGAGGCGGCGGTGGCGGAGGAGGGGGGCAACAGGCCCGGCGGATACGATCCTCCATCATGCACGTTGTTGTTTCGCTAACGTCCCTCATGAGCGTTCTAGCGCAGGCATTCAGTTCTCTCAGTGTCTGCAGCATAGTCAGGTTACATTCAGTGTTTGGCGCAGGGTTGCAACAGGCGGACGGTTGGTTGGCATTACGTTTGCTCATGGCCAGACTGTGCATGTCTGTGGAAATGGCCTGAGAAATCCAGCCCAGCTCCTGCAGGGATTCGAGATTGGGAGACAACTCGCAACCCGCCGGCGACAGCTTTGTACAACAATCGGCCAGTAGGGGGGAGGGAGACCGTTGGCTAGTACAACTGCCGGGGCGTTCTGAAGTCACCGACTGAGCTGTAGTACTGTTCGAACGTCCTGACTTTGACAATTTCCAACGACCTTTTCTTGCCGGCTTGAGTTGCGCTGAAGATGGGCAGTCCGAATCAGTTACCTGTGATTCACGGGATCGTTGTACCAAGTCGAGCAGGCTATTGCTCTCCTGCTGGACTTCCTGAACCAGACACTCGATATTCTGACGGAGGTCACACAGACGATCGCCACAGTTGGTCTTCACGGCTACTGTAGTGGCCGGCGTTTCGTCTTTCCACTTGATGCTTTGTTGTCGAGGCGCGGATTCCGAAGTCCTCACTTTCGTATTCACCGCTTTATGCGGTTTCTCAGTCTGACTGGGTTTGTAGCAGATGGAAGAAAGTGTAGCCCCGGAATTGTTCCTTTGCGGTATTTCAGAATGATCTTTTCGAGGATGCATCAGAAAGAATTCGTATAGTCGTCACTTTTATGAAAAGTTAACTGACTGCTTGGCAGTGCCGCAGGAAGTATTATTCCGAGTGATGGAAATATTTAAAGTTGCCGCATTATACGAAGTCTTTCCTCTTTGATGAGGCGCTGTGCTTGGAACATAAGTTGACCACGTGCACGGCAGGACGCCTGATCGATCGCGAGTCTTAAATAAAGCATGGTTATCATCGGTTGCGCGTCTTACGACGGCTGTACCGAGACACTCTTAGGAGGAAAAGGTGGTGGCGGTGGTAGTCTGGGGTTCACAGAAGTTGTCACGCCTCGTGCGCCCGGCAGTACTATCTTAGTGGTGGTGGGGATGGCGGCGGCGGCGGTGGTGATGATGATGGTGGTGGTGGTGGCGGCGGTGGTGGTAGTAGTGGTGGTGGCGGCGGCGATGATGGTGGTAGTGGTGGTGATGATGGTAGTAGTAGTGGCAGTATCTGAGCCTTGGGTACAAAAAGAGTCGCAGAGAACGTAAATCGGCCTCCGGGTTTGCAGTGCAAGAGTTCAAGATGAGCTTAGGTGTTGCTACTTACTCTGGCGCAGGATTCCAGTCGCAGTTGGGTTTTAAAGTTTGCGCACATTCTCCAGACAACAGTGAGTCCGCGTGGGGAATATGCATCCTCTTCTCTCTCTCTCTCTCTCTCTCTCTCTCTCTCTCCTCTCTCTCTCTCTCACGCTCTTCGGTTTCGTCATTCAAAATCACTCCTGATGAGAAAACCAACATTCCAGGACGAACATTCGAACTGTAGAAGAAACAGTTTTTGGAACTCTTCTTTTGCACTGGATCTGGAATCCATCTCCAGGAAGGGAAGAGAGGTTATACAATCAGTCCTTCCCGTCGTCGTGGTTGTCTGTATCACTCCGGGAGGCAGCTGCAAGTTATGGACGCGGATGAGTCCTCCAGCATGGCTTCGTACCCAGGTCTAGCTGATCTTCATGACCGTAGAACCATCGCCAAAGCGAGTCGCAACTCACGCGGTTGTGACCTCGTTCAATAATTGTGACCAGGTCTAACGGGTAGGTGTAACGGATGAAGCCACTCATCTTTACTGATGGTACGCGTTCTCCCACCCGCTCCTCCATTCTCCGTTTCTATCGTTTCGTTGCCTTGACCGCAACTCTGCTAGATGGAATAACGGACTTCTGACGCTTCCTGCTCTGGTAGTGAGTCCTTCGGCGCCGTCTCCCGCATGCGGGCGATTCCAGTTCGCAGTGTGCTGATGAGATGTCGGCTGCCGGCTTCTGAAGTCTGCCAGACGTGAACGCAAGTTTGCCAACTTCTCCTCACCATCCAGAAGCATTTTATCGAACCGAATTTCACCAATGCCTCGCCGCCTGCTATTCTTAGCCCTCGCAGATTAGATGCTTTTTCCTATTTGAGCGTACAGCGATCCTCACGTCGCTCGGAGAACAGCCACTCGGGCGCGGTCGGTCAACCGATAACTTACGCGAGCAGAAAACAGATGCTATGAATGATAGGCATTGTAGGTGAGTGGAGGAGGGTCTGCCAACAAAAAGACGAGCGGATGCGTGACCAACGCAGTCTTATAAATACTGAAACCTAGCGAATCTCATTAGCCGTCTGTCTGACGGGCGGGCTCTCTTTCTCTCACAATCGCTCCCTGTCTCTACGTTAATGATTTACAAATTTGGAGGTGAAGCACTGGGCGAATAAAGTCCTTTGTCCAATGATAGTTTAGATAAAGGCCAGCAATTAAAAGTACAATCGACATAGGTGAGGTAGGCTGGAAAATGCAATTATGTTTTATTAGGCCCCGTCAGCGATCTCGTCGTTCCAACGGTTGAGATGAGGACTATTAATATCGAGGTAGCGCTTCGCTGAAACACTGTTCTCCGGTTTTGTCTTTGAAGTCTTTCAACTGCCATCTCAGGCGGTCGTCTGTTTAAAAAAAGACGAACAGCCTGCAATGAAAAGCTGAAACTACGTAGGCAATTACGAGAAGCCGGCCAGTGCGGTAGCATGGAGGTGCGGATGAAAAGTTCGATTGAAAGTTCTACGTATACATAAATAGGTATTGGTGCCCGAATAGGAGTACACCACACCGTGGCTTCTCAAAGCCAACAAAGTTCGCATTGATGACAGGGGTCACGACTAGCCAACCACCTGTTGAAGTTGGCCAAGCTACAATAGCAGGAGGGGTGACGACAGAGTTTGGGCATGGAGGGATGCAGAACTGTTCCGGAAGCTAAACTACTCGAAAAGTAGTATTTCGTATGTTCAAAACTGGAGATGACCATTCGGTGGTGGTCAATTATGTGACATCAGGTAGGATTTTCCAAACGGCAAAATAATTTCGGCCCATTTAAACGAATGAATCCCTATCTGCGTTATTACTGCACTTTAGGGCATCAAATCGCACAGATCTGCTAAGTTGACATTTAGGGATTGATAAAATGTCCGGTTTTCCTAAAATAACCTTTGTTTCCGCAAGTTGATTACCACGGTTAGCATCGGACATAAAACAAATTTTTAAGTTCGGCAAAATCCGTTTATTAAAACTCTCGCTGGTAAATTAATATCCCTTCAATTAAACAGTCACTCAGATGCGTAACCGGAGTCTAGGACCTGTATCAGCATAAGAAATTGCACGAATCTATTCCAACGTCCACTTTCGATAAAATTTACTGATATTTTACTTGATACCATTACGTAAACACCATTTCTGCACAAAAAGGACATTTCATTGAAGGATGTGGATGAGCGAACAAAATACGCAAACTTAAAGACGTCCATAAATTCTCGCATCAGTTTCCGTTATCAGATTTCAAGAGATAGGTCACGTACTGTATTTGAATTCCACCCAACCATTGCATCTGAAATGCAGAAATACTGTTAGGGGTTTCAACACTCCAGATTCACAGGTGTCTCTATGCCCGCAGCAGGCCCCTCAGTCTTATGTGATTGTTCGATTGTCGCGGTCAACGAGATGCCCTACCGTCGGGGAAGGCGGGCACAAGAGTATCTGTCGTGAAGTGGACTTATGCCACACCGTTATTGCTCCCTCCTTCCCCGCCCACCGTGCTCCGATGGTACGACAAAGTCAGGGTTACCGTCAGTCAGTCAGTATATATGGAGTAAACGACTGAAGCCCTGAAAACTCCATTTAGACGGTAAGGAAAAAATAGTTAAATTGCGAAAATTTAGCTTGTAGTTTTTGTAAGGAGAATTCCTAAATCTAATGATGGAACATAAATGCGAAAGGGGTATGGTATTCGCGAAATGATTGCGAAGAACTTTATTCACCGCATTCGGACTGCGAAAATTTCCATATGGGCTAAGTTTAACGCACAAAAAAGAATCTGTTAAAATCATGTTAGTAGTATATTTGTAGTCATTTCAGTAAACCGTTAGATCAGGCTTCGGCAGTTTGGGTTGCCTTTCAGCAGATGAGTATCCAGTTGTCTCTTGAACACGCTCACGGTAAAGGAATTAACAACATACTCCGGCAAATAGTTCCATTGGCGAATGACCCCCTGTGAGAAGAAGGAGGAACGTTGATTTGTGTGACACAGTTCCCTTTTAAGCTGGTAATCATGTCGTCTGAGATTAGACTTGGAGGCCACTTTAAAAAAACGTTTCCCGGTCGACATCCAGATTAGGTCCTTTTACCAACTGGAACGTTGCTATGAGGTCACCTCTGTCCTGCCCGTAGTGGAGGGGATAGAGGTTCAAAGCCGTCAGGAATTGCTCGTACGCAAAATTGTTGAGACCATGAACAGCCTTTGTAGCATGCCGTTGTACACCTTCAAGGATATCTATATCCTTGCGAAGCCACGGCCGTCAAGCCTGTACCGCATATTCCAGGTGCGGCCGCACAAATGTCCCATATACTTTATCAAAGACATCCGTATTCAAGTGAATAAACGTTTTTGCGTATCACGCTCATGACTGACCTTGCCCGAGCAGCGATTTTAGAAAACTGCGTGGTGACGTTTACACCGTCTTTAATGAATACACCGAGATCTTTTTGCACATCTGCGGTTTTAAGTGGTTGATTGTCCAGAAGATACTGTTGTGAGGGTGCATTTGTTCTTGGCCTCGCTGATACTGCATGCACTACGGCACATTTTTTGACGTTGTATTTCATGCACAATCTCTTGCTCCATGTGTGCAAATTTTCTACGTCCTCTTGTGGTCGCTTGACGTCATCTTCGTCTTTAATTGCTCTCCAAAGTTTGAGATTGTCTGCAAAGAGCGCTATGTCCGATTTCACTTCCCGTACTAGGTCATTTACATAGATAGTGAATAGGAGCGGTCCAAGAACTGACCCCTGTGGGACTCCACTTGTAACAGGCTCCCATTCTGAGCAGTAGCCACCCGCAATGACTTTTTTGTCCACGACCGTTTAGGAAATCTTGAATCCAGTTTAGAATATTTCCTCTTATCCCTACTCCTGACAGCTTTAGAACGAGGCGCTCCGGTTCTTGGGTCCAGTGCGGTCCTTCTACGCGTATCACAACCGATCCGACCTCCCTATTGCTCATGCACCGGACTACGTTCAGGCGAGGAGGCTATCGGGTCTCGTGTAGATGGTAGTGTCAAAAACGTCACGTTAAGGGGCCATTGCAGCCTCATCCTTAGTCGCTTGATGGATGGGATTGCACCGCCAGTGGACAGCCTCCCAAGTCATGGCTGATGACTTGTCATTACAGAATGGAGCTCGTTAGCTGCATTTTACTTAGGAAAGAGCTGATATGCCGTAAAAATATGTCCCCATCTATCGGCGTGACTCTTCCGTAGACGACATGGCGTATCGTCCATGCGGCGCCCAAATTCGGGTAAAGAAAATAATCGTCAATTACTGCAGACAAACTGAAAGTCCGGCCAGTGACTGGGGTGTGTGACTGGATAAAGGGGACATTATCAAGCCAAATAATGGCTGCTGCCCTTCTCTCTTTGTTGATCTACTTCCGTGATTGATGAGAGTTCATTGGGAAATATCCTAAAAAGTGCATTGTCAAGGAGAGCCACTACACAAAGGGATACTGGGGTGTATTTTTCTTTTCAGTACACAACTAAGCCATTTTCTAGAACCTTCTCATTGTAGTACTCGGCGATTGTGTGACCAAGGACATTGTCACCACCGTTCGCACCCATTCGAAAGTCACTGGGGAGGGGAGGTCATTTGTGTGGGGAGAGCTAGACACAAAGAGGGAAGATCACGTCTATTTACAACAAATATAGTGGGAAGGGGGAAGTGGGGGAGGCTATACCGACACACGTCTGATAAAGTTAGACAATAAAGGAGGGCCGCAAACCTACGAGCATTCCAGCCGGAAAGATACGGCTAGAGGCTATCTGCAGAAGAAAGTTCGGCGGATGACTATAACATGAAAATACATTGATTCTCGCCGCTGATTCAGGCGCGTCGGAGTGACTGTGAGCTCGATGTTAATAGCCGAAATAACATCCCTGACGAACTCAACTGCGCCTCGTAGTCTGGGCTTGCGCAGACGCTCGCTTACTCACTTTCATATAACTCTTCTGGTTGACTTTAGAGTCGTTTCTGCTCTAGAAAACAACGGGAACTGGCCCCCTGAAGTCCGTCCCCCTGATTTTGAACTTGGGATCCTCGTTATCGTCGCCCGCATGATATCGACAGCTGTACATTTATGCGCAAGACTGGCTCCGTATAGGCGTCTGAGAGGAGCATGGGTAACGAGAGTCACGACATCCATGCTAATCATTGACTCTGATATCCAGCTGGATAGATTCACCGTTGACAACCTTGTTCTCATTGTTTGTTCTCCTTCTAAAAAGAAGGGTGGTGTTGTGAGACGTGAAGCCTCTGTTAGGCTATGGGTTGCGATACAAACCACATTTTTAAAATAAAACAGCAGTTGGACCTGCCAAAAACCAGTCTCCGCGACCAAGACTCATTAAGGTCGATGTTTACTTATATTTAGCCAGTTGAGTAGAGGTTGGGATATGGAGCCAGATTTTCCTAGAAGGACCTAAGATTAGTACGTTTTCATTTCAATCCTGGTCAAGTGTTTGTTGTGGACCAGAGGGCATGACGGTACGCCAATGGGCGGCCTCAGTCGTGTCAGTCATCTCTCACATCCGGTCTTCTTGACCAACGACCCGGGCGGCAGCGGCGGCGGCGGCGGCGGCGGCGGCGGCGGCGGCGGCGGCGGAGGAGGAGGAGGAGGAGGAGGAGGAGGAGGAGGAGGAGGAGTGGGATGCTACGGAAGTCTATTATCACTGTGAAAGGAATCACGCAAATGTCACTGTGCCTGCTGTCACCCTTCGGTTACGACGGTCGAACTGTCAGGTTTTCTACAAAACACAAACAGTAGATGCTAGAAAGAGGCACCCGAAACCGACAGCAGCTACATCGTCTAAATAAATAGAATAGCGTTGTACATGTACACCAACACCACCTGTTGGAGTGTGGCAACCGCGTTACACATGCCAAAATTACCGAGTTTCAAACAAGAATAGGTTTTGTCGAAGGTCGAAGGCCGTGTTGGGTCGATCTTTGGCTGACCGACCATTTCACAGGCATCGTGGTCTCTTATGACCTCTCTCAGTTTTAATGTCACTGGTTGAACACAACGTGAGTTGCTCGCCTGTTGGTACCTCACGGCCCGGCGGCTACAGTAGGAGGAAATGGACTAACTTTAAGGTACTCGGCCATTTTATAATGTGAGACAATGCATTATTTTTGTTGGCCAAGGTGAGGGTTGGATGCATCGCGTCTGAAAGTCGACATAAGTGCTCGGCAAACTGTTTTGGCGTTTCCGCTGGTCTACATTACCTTTTCCGATAAACAGCATAGGTCGGAGGAATTTAGTAAACCGGTCGCAAAAACATTCTATGGATGTAGAAATAGATTGTTAACAACGACAAGGGAGACTGGGATGGCTGTTTCTGGCTTATTGGCCGTCCTCAGCCAGTCATACCCAACCCCGAAGTGTGGAACACCTGGGGTTCAAACTTGCGACCTGTCGTTTGGGAGTTCAACGTCCTAACTACCGAGCCACAGGCTCTTTGTTTTGAATATGAATGTGTAAACCGTCAGACCTCCGTCAAGGGCTGGGGTCCAACTGATTTAAACAGTGCACGACTCTGTTCATGGCTAAGAACTTCTCGTAAGTAAAAATTGGCTCCGTGGAGTCGAACCTGGAGATTTTCTTGTCCATCGCATTGTGGAGGAGCTGATGGTCTTGGATTCTGTATGCCTGTACTCCACGTACCGCGCAGGGGTGAGTTCGTACAAGGCGCGCTGGTGACCTTGCTCGTGGTACCTCCTCTGTTCCCCAACTCGTATTTTGGTTCATCATGTCGCCATCTGGCGTAGTTAAGTTTAGTTTTACGAAGGGAAAGATAGGTGAACGCCTTCGAGCTCCCTACCTGTTACAGATTGTCTACGAAAAGGCGCCGATAAGAGGAAAATTGAGAGAGAGAGAGAGAGAGAGAGAGAGAGAGAGAGAGAGAGAGAGAGAGAGAGAGAGAGAGAGAGAGAGAGAGATTGTTAACATAATTGCATGAGAAAGGTAGGGAACTGTCTGCTGGTCCAAAAATGGCAAACACGAACGACTACTCACACTTTGTAAGCGGTGTTGGAAATGTAAGTTAGATGGCTGGTTACGTGAGGGCTTGTGCGACTGGTAGTTGGGCGGCTTAGTACGTGTCAAGTCCACACATTGGTTCTTGCTTTACCCGCGCGTTGTTCTAGGGGATGACCGCGCAAAGTGGGCGTGTTAGCCCGAGTAGAAAAATTTACTGGCGACAAAGCAACAGTCTGCTTGGTGGAAGGTGCCTTTCAAATGTGACCTAACAAAAAGATCTTGGGATCAACGTTGTGTCGATTCTTAAGCCTTCCTCTCAGTGCGTTAGGGCGGCCAAAACGGCAACCAGTGCTCTCTTTGCCATCAAACGAACTTACGTAGACATAGACAAAGAGTTATTTGGAAAAGTATACGGAGTGTTCATTCGTTCGCACCTGGAATATGGAATCCAAGCGTGGCGCCCGCGGCTGAAAAAACTATAAGTTGCTAGAAAGAGTTCAGAGGAGAGCGACAAAATTTGTGAAAGGCCTCAGGACTTTACCTTACAATTGCCGACTTAGTAAACTTATTCTCTTTCCTCTTGAGTACAGGCAGGTTCGAGGTTATCTCATACAGGCGTATCGGATATTGAGGAACCTGGACTGTGCCCTACACCTCGACGATTTCTTCACCCTGGCCACAATAACAAACCTGCGTGGAAACTTCCTAAAACTTAGAGGGTCCCGATGCCGCCTGGACGTTCGAAGATTCTGTTTTTCACAGCGAGTCGTCGGTGCCTGGAACGGGTTTCCCGAGGACGTAATAATGGCGGATACTACGGAGACGTTCATGCAAAGACTAGATGTATATTTGCTTGGACAATACCGCTTGTCTGGACAGAACAGCCCTGTGGTGCCAAACCAACGCCTTGCATACACCTACCGCTAATGCGGATGACTGTCATTGCATTTTACCGATATCATCTACAACTGAATGTGTTTGAGTTTTGGCACTGCATTTTCGATGAAAAATATTATATTTAGTGTATATATTACTGGCAAAATTTTAGTACCGTGTTTATTTAAACTTACATATTGCATGACCGATTTAGTCGCCTTCGCGCAGTTAAGTGTTCGTTTGAGTGAAGATGCAATCCACACACCCAAGTCCTTCTGACTGTTAACTTGTTGCAGTGATGTGCTGGGGCTGAGGGTCCTCCAGCTGCCGAGTTGAAGAAAGTTGCATTTACTTACATTGAATGGCCTAAGAAAGCGCCTCAATCAATCCTCGAGCCTGTTCCAGTTTGTTTGCAGGTGGTCTGCGCCTGCCGCATTGTAAATAACTTTCCACAATTTTATGTCGTCAGCGGACAGGACGGCATCACTGTTCAGGTCTCTGACGCAGTAATTTATCAAAACAAGGAATAACCTGGGGCCTTAGAATGAACCCTGTGGGGCGCCTCTGAGGACTGCTGGTATCTGACCAGCACCCTTTAGGACCGTCCAGTCAAAAAAATTCTGTATCCGTACAAGGTGGCTTCCACGAACTCTTACGTTGCGCAGTTTATGCAAAGGACATTGATAAGGAATGTTGGCGAAGGCTTTTTTGAAGTCGATGTAGATGGCGTGCACCGTATGGCCTTCTTCAGTGCTTTGGTACAACGTTCGAGTGAGAAGAGCAGATTCGCGAGACAGGACCTACCACTTCGAATGCCGTGCTGGGCACCGGAGGGGATGTGATTCTGCTCGAGGAACTGCATCAACACTTTCTAATTATTTTCTCCATGATTTTGCAACAGATGGAGGTAAGGCTCACGGACCTGTAGTTATTTGCAAACGCTCGACTTCCATTCGTAAATAGTGAAGTGACGGTAACGGACTTCCGATCGGAGGGTAGGCACACAGGAGTAAATGACGCTTGGAAGAGCAAGACTGGTAGTTTGGCCGTTTCGGGAGCTAGCTCCCTCAGCAGCTTGGTCGGGATTGCACCAGGGCCTGGGAAGTCGATTCCTTCAGGTTTAGCAACTCTTCCTGAACGACTGTTTCGGTGAAGAGGACTGGTCCAACGGTGGGCGTTTCTTTGTCTTACGGACTGAAAAAACTGAGAGAGAGAGAGAGAGAGAGAGATGTTCAGCCTTATCCTTGTCATCTGAGTTTTCCGTTTCCTCGGCCGTTCACAGCAGTGGGATGGGGTCTTTGTTCCGTGTGCTCTGTCTTATGTAGCTGTAAAGGACTTTGGGATTAACCATGGCACGGTTCAAAAGATCCTTTTCGAAGACTTTCCGATCTCTGGCGATGAGAATTTTGACTCGGTTTCTCAGTAACTTGTTACTGTTTATGAACTCAAGCATCCGATAAATGATGGATCTTTTCCATAACTTCCTCTGCTTGCTAACTTCCTTTTTCAAGGATGGAGTCAATCAGCGGAGTCTGCTTGTTGGTCTTCTTCGCATGATTGGGCAGCGAATGGAGATGTGGCTATGGAATATCACTTTGAACTGACAACAAACCTCGTCGATATCGCTGGAGGGTTTGGATGCCCAGTCAATAGGAAGAAGATCATTTTTCATCTGTTTGAAATCGCCACGCCAAATATTGGGTCGGGAATTAAGAAGTTGTGCCGGCAGGGAGAACAAGGTTTATCGCCACATGAGAACTGCATAATCACTGTGACCTAATGGGGGGGGGGCAATTCACAACCTCGATGTTGTCAGACAACTTATTGAACACAAGGTCGAGGCAGTTCATCTGTCGGCCCACACGAACTTTCGTCGGAAACACTACGTGTTGGGCGAGAAGCTGTTGGTAGAATGCTGTTTCAGAACGGTCACTGGAGGCCGAGTTCCAGTCCGTGTGAGGTGCGCTGAGGTCCCAAGCGATGAAAGTATTCGGCCGTGTAGAAAATAATTTAAGTTCATCTAGCAGTTGGGCATCAGCTTCAGGGTCATTTATCGGGGGACGATACACCGTTAAGATATCGAGGCTTTAAGAGCCCGGTGATCTTATGGTCAGCCATAATGCTTCCGTACTACAAGTCCGCTTAGCAATTTTTGGCGAAACATACGAGCCATTTACAACAAGTATTGCTCTCTTTTTAGGGACAGACAGGGTGAAATTTTTGTTAACCACAGCAAAGTCCAGCGAAAGGGTAATCCAACATAGGCAATGTTAAATCTGCGAACTGATCTTCTTTTACGGAACAGGGTATTTTCAATACTCAGTACCCCGGGACTGCAGAAAGGTTACAAGGGAATTCACGACTGCAAAGCGGGGAGGTGGAGCTGGGAGCTGGGAATACGCCCGTCTCGTATTTGTACTAAGAGAAATCGAACACTAACGCCGCTAGTTCTTCGCAAAGTTAAGCCCCCTGTTCCCTCCTCTGTTTTAACAAAAAGTTGTCTCCCGTCCTGTCTGCTTACCACGAGGCCTTTGGGCATTACACCGCACCTAATCATGACCTTGAGGGAATACAATTCGCGTTTTCAGACGAGCCTAGGATTCTCCGTGACCGGAAATCTAGCGCTATCCTTATTTATAGGGCCGTTCATGTGAAAAGAACATTTTCATCCATGACCACGCTGTGAACGAAGCAGTTGCTTCTTTTTTCGATAATCCCCTATTGAGCCACGCACATATTTGTTGATTCTCCTTGAAATTTGCTCGCCAAACGGTTGCAACAAGGATTACACAGGAAACATGCGTTCCCCCTTCAAATACCAAAGTCCGAGTCTGCTACATATTTTTGATAAATTGACCTCTTCCTTCATTTCCTTGTTTTTAATAGCACAAATGGTTCACTTTGTTTAGACACCTAAGGGAACATAGAAAAACCTCAGCATAAAGTTGTAAAGGTTACAACTTCCTGAGCAGGATGCGACTGGCTGACTGTCGTTGCCGACGATGTCCACCGTGTGCTCCACAGCCAGGTGAAGCAGGCACGATGACTTGCGGGTGGGATAGTTTAAAGTGTTAGCAGGTTTACGCTGCATCAACCGCACTCCCTCCTCCTTCCCCACCTGGGCCGGGTGTCAAGACAAAGTCAAGCAGACCGGAGGCGGGGGAGGGCGCCGGTGGATGGTACGGCCGAGCCCTGCAACAAGGCGTTTCACTACACAGCCCCTAGTCCACAACGTCCGCTGACTAGGATTTTATATACCAAGAAAATGGGGGGGGGGGCTTTAGAGATTCCGGATGGCGCGTCGTGGACCCGCAAATGGGATTGCGACTTCATCACTAACACTGGCATTTGTTTTGGATGGGTATCCCCGACGCCTGCCGGACTCCAATGTAGCCCAACGTTCGTGCAGCGCATCTACCGCGTGCCCCGTTTAGAGTGCACCCGTTGGCACCTATTCCGTATCCTTATCCTAGCTCCCTGGAATTGGCGCAAGGTCGCCTGTAATACTGGGGCTTCCTGTTCCCATGTCGTACCCTGAATTGTAGCGGATTGCCGCAGGAGCCACGCCTATCACGAAAAATGTGTTCTCTTTCCCCCACCCTAAATTTGGTCCAACATGTGGCCGTCGACTTCTCTAATAGCAAGGGAAGGCGATTCTAGATTTGAGCCTCGTCCTCCAGTAGTTGCTGAAAGCTGGTTGGTTGCCAGCGCCTCTTGGCTATCGCGTCACCAAGGTCGCAAGTGAATGCCTGAATGCCTATTGGTGGACCGGTCAGGTGATGAGCATGCTTTCGCAGCCACCTCACTAATTCTCTGAAGTACGCTTTCAACCGGAAAATGTGATGGATATTTCGTTCGGGGTTTGGATCAAATCAACTTCCGGACATTCCAAGAAGGGCGGAAATTGTGACTGATTGATTTTTTGTCCTGAATGCTCCCAAATGCGTTCAATCGCATTATAGACTGGCGATAATGCTGACTACGGAAGGGTTAGTTTAGCATCGATCTGTTTAAAGGCTTCGGTAATTCTCACTTCCATCCTCATCCACCCATTCCGCATCCAAGGGCTTTTTTCATTATTATTATTATTATTATTATTATCGTGATGTAGAATCACAAGTTCATTTCCACTATATGCCAGTATCGTCCACCCCTAGATGCGTAGTAACCCCCAGCATCCTGAATAATGCGCGAATTTCCTGTCGATTGTGCTGCAAACCTTCCTTCGTCCGCCTCAAGATCTCACATCGCATCATGACTCGTTGGTCTAAATTACTCCGCTTATTTGTGAATTCCGTCGGAATTCACAAGTCTTGATTTCTATGGGCAAAATCTGGCAGTGTTGCAGGCAGTAGCGTCCATATCTAGTAGCCAGACTCATTAAAAATGTTAAAAAACGAAACAAAGTACGTAGTGTTGGAGTCCACGTAGATGAGTTAGTTGATATGACTGACAGCAACGTTTTTACACCTCCACAGGAGGTTGTCTGGGACACACCGCTTCCATGAACTCGATCAGGTTCTCGGCGTTCCTTTATCGACATACAACGCGCTGACAACTGAATGCTTGTACAGTCTTGTCTTTCGAATTCCAACGGTCTACCCAAGCGCATCCGCCTTTCGAGATTACCACTTCAGCTGCATCCATCACTACCGCTTGCATTCTAATGAGTCATCTCCGATTTGGAGTCGAGACATCCTGATTTGCTACTGTCCTGTGTCCGACGAAGCTCTGACCGCAGCATAGAAGACTGGAGTTCGTGTAAAACAAAGCGACGAGATGGGTCTTGTATTTTTTGGGGTGTGCGTACGTGCAACAAGTCGATGGAAAGTCGCAGCCAATGAGAGGGCAGATGACGAAATTATGGTGTGCGCGGGCAACCAATTAACGTCTGGCGTGTAGATCATTGGAAAAAATCGTCGAGACTGTACCGCGAAGAGCATTCAGTCCGGTTTTAAACACAACGGAGAAAATCAGTAGTTAAAAGAAGATATTTTTAGTCACGACTCGGTTTCCCATGAGAACGCAGGCACAGAAGTTACGCACAAATGTTCGTCGAAATTTCGTTTACGGGCAGGCTCGCTCTGATTGGGTGGCTCGTGCAGGTAATACGTTCGAGAACATACAGCAGCGTGAGGATTTGCTGGCCAGAGCACGTGTTTTTTGGACTCATAAACATTCGTTTCAGTGTCCCCGTCATATCCTATCTCGTTTCTAGCCTCTTCAACCTTTTTCACTACCGACCTCCCATCAAAACTACCGGATCCTCTTCAAGATGTCATCGAAGAAACAAACTGAAGAAACGCAATCCTGTAAAAAAGAATTTCATTTGAATCAAGCCCACAGTCCTCTCAGGAATCGACGCTTTGAATAGCCATTCTCTGACCAACACGAATTCGTCTCTAGTGAACAGTCTCGGCATCGTTGAAGATCGACATCTTTTTGTTGCGAGATTCGTAAGCTACAGATGCTTCGGAAATTCCCAACAAAGTAGAATGCTTTGAAGTTGTTTTAATGTCGCCCTATTGTATCCGCGATATTTGCACACCGTCGGTTGACTTCCAGGCTGTTTCTCCGTCACAGGAGGACGGGAATTCTGCGCGAAGCCCGAATAGCCACATAGCGGACACGCCCATTTGTCAGAGCACGATCACCCTAAAGTAGGCGCACTTAAATTACGCCAATCGATTACCGCGTACGGTCGCGCATGTGTGACTACGAAACACGAATAAATCCACGTGGAACGTGCCCGCGGCTCTTAAAACGTCCAGAAGACATCAGACAAAAACGGTCCCTCGAAATGGACTGACCCCTGACATCGCCATGATTCTCACCAGATCACACGTGCCTCCATCATCCTCTTTGTCAAGACGAACGTGTATTTGATATTAGTGCCCGTAAGATGCTGAGGCCACGGCCTCTCAGGATTTCAGAACCCGACCTAGAACAGGCAAAAAATCTGGGAAGAAAGTCGTCTGAACAGGGGTTTTTTGTCAACTGCTGTGGAAGAGATCGGAGGAAGACGGCAGAGGAGCTAACAAGTCAAGTTGGCCAGCCCTTTCCTCGCACTCTCAGTCTGACTTCCAGGAGCCATTCCGGTCTTTATGGTAATATCCCGCCCTTCTCTGTTCGGAAAAGCGGCTATTCGGATGTGTTAGAGGGAGTCCGGGAAAGTCTGCGAACTTTGGTGGAGCAGGTATACGACGACAGGGCTGAACTTATATCTCTGATTCAGCAGAAATTTGCCCCAAACGGAAGGACAGGGGATGCTCAGCGCAGACTGGAAGCCGGCGTCCCAGAAGGTCTTCCCCTAGAAGATCTGCCCTCCTCTAGGGAAACTTACGCTCGGGACAGCAAAGTGGGAGTGACCCCTGCTGAAAGTGGGAAGGGAATTCATGTTGAAGAAAGAATCATGAAGGCCCTTGGTCGGGGAACTCTCTCTCCTGAGACCGTGCAAAAAGTGAAGGAGCGCCTCCGTTCACTGATAGACGATGTTCAAAGGGGAAACGTAGAAGTCACCTCACTGCTTCATCGGGTGCTGGCCACTAATTCCGAGGTTGCAGTTCAGCACGAAAGCGCTCGAGGACGAAAAAACGTCGAAGAGGTGAGTGAAGTAGTTCCAGCTGTTTCCTTTCCTGGGCAGGACAAAGGCCTCCCTTTCTCAAGTGGGCA